AGCAGCTTGCATAGAGCAAGGATCACTTTGGCAGGGTTGCGCGGGCCCCCGCGTGCGAAACATGCCGCCGGGCGCCTGCCATTTTGACTCTTGCCGCACCCCTGGCCCACGATATCTGTTTGACATGTGTTTAGCTAATTATCTTTTGTTCCACAATTTTCATTTCAGCGTCGATGGCCCGAGCATTCAACAGAGCCTAAGGTTATTGTTGTTGCTTGAGCGCCTGTCGACTGCTCATGCGGCATCTTAGCCCTCACTCCTGACATCTGATTCGACACCGTCGTGCAGACTGTGTCCATCTTAAACATGGATTCGCCATGCCTCGTCGAGAAAGCTGTGCAATAGTTGCGGCAATTGACGTGAACGGTGCTAGTACACTTCCCCATCCATGTGTACTTAACGAGGTGAATGTTGGTTCTGCGCGTCCTGAGGGTGTCGAGGTTTCGGTTCCTGGTCCATTTCCTACGCTAGCTGAAGGTGATCCTGCTGGTGTTCCTGAGCCTGGAGTCCGTAACAACCAATCCTGAAAGTAATGTACGCTTCATCCGCAAGAGGTACTGAGGGGCTGCTGTTCGCTAGTTCTTTTTGTAGTCCGACTGGGCAACCAAGACCCCGAAGCTAATGCTAGACCTAAAAGGCCAATGGGGCTAAAAAAAACCTAGGACTCTATCCTTAGGGGCTAGAGTGGGGCTACTACAAGGATCCGTTCCAGAGCTGATGTGGGTAGTTTACGCAGGTATACGCTAGTTTCTACAAGACCCCCCAAATTCTATAAACCGTATTCTAGGAACCCCCCCAAAAAGGTAGCCATGATTTCGGGAAACTTACAAGTTTGGGTCTCATTTCCATGCATCCAAAGTTTCCATGCATCCAAATATGGTGAGGGTCTTCAAAATGACCCATACGCGCCTTCAAGCTGTTGACTTTTCACTCCTATCCCCTTAGTTCTTTTCTTGAATTGTAGTTGTAGTACAACCCTAAACCCTGAACCCTAAAGAACAATTAAACAGCACACTTCCATTATAGGTCAAGGGGGATGACACCTGAGGCAAGTTGCCGAACGACACTGAACTCAACCAGCCGTACGGGAGTCCGGATGTTGTGGAAATGGCCGGGAGGCCGATGCCTGTGGCCTTTGGAGCGGAAATTGCCTTACTTGGAGGGACCCCAATACAGACCCCAAAATGTTACCACACGTATTATAGGGACCCCCCAAAAAGTACCCCTAATTTTGAAAGACACCCAAATCTATGGTGCATGTTAAGTTAGAGTGCAGGAGAAGAGAGAGAGAGAGAGAGAGAGAGTGTGTGTGTGTGTGTGTTTTCTTTATATGTATATATACACATGTTACGCATAATCTGCATGCACATACTTATCTGTATATATATATGTATATATTTATTTATTTATAGAACAATATATCTATGCATACACACACATATACAGATATGCATCTAGATATTTGGCGCAGCCCTGGGGCACGAACAGACACCACTTTCCCCCAAGCACACGTAAGTTGGAGGTGTCGGATGGCGCTTCTTGCTCATGCCAAGCAAGGAGGTATGGCAACAGCGGAGGCATGGCCCCCGAAACCCTAAACCATAAACCCTCAACAGTGGCCCAACCTTCCGAATGATGAGTGGGGACCGAGAATAAATCAGAGGCCCCCTGAAAGTGGGTTTATAGCAAATGGAGTTGTATTGGGAGAAATTTCGGAATGAGGGGCACAACCTCAGTGGTGGAACGTCCAATGGACAATCAAATGGAACATGAAGCGCTGCAAGCCACAAACAACAGCAACAACTTTATACAATCAAAGCTCTTCTTGTCCACTATTTTGCAACTCTCATTCACGTAGCTGCGCCTTAGGCCCTTGACTTTTCACCCTATGTTCCTGCCATATGGAGCTGACTGTTGGCAAATTCCTTGTGCTGTCTTGACGTGTTTGTGTGAACTTGACTTGTTCTCATTCTCATGAGTAGCTCTAGGCCCTGAACCCCCAAACCCCTAAACCAACCCTAGACCCTAAATTGTAGCTTCCATTTTCGTTTCTATCATCCCAATAAAACCTCGGGTTTTGGGTTTCGGGAATGCCCGTAAAGAGGGGTACCCCTTACATATCCCATACTACTAGAATCCCTCTTGCAGGGGAGAGGGGCACTTATTATTGGCAAAGGCTGTTACATCCTTATAACATCCCTGTAAAAGCATAAATCCCTTACAATATCCTTTTACAAGCCCAAATATCCTGGACAACTGTCAGTATTCGCCTTATTCAAGCGGCCATTAAGGGTGGACGTAGGGCTTCCTCTTGTAATTTTGTATAGTCCTCCCTAAGAAGGAACCCATGTCCTTTAAAATCATGTAGGACATATTACCTGTAGCTTATATAATCCCTAAACCCTAACCTAATTAAATCCCAAACCCTAAACCCTGAGCCTTATCTCACCTACCAGCAGGCCATAAAAGCATTGCGTTCTGCGCCGGCAGCCCCAAAGGGGACCTGGGTGGGAGCCTTAGACATGCCTTGAGGGTTTAGGGTTTAGGATTCAGGGTTTAGGGTTTAGGTAGGTATAGGGATATTTGTGAGGCATATCTAGGGTTTCATGGGGATATTAGAAGTTATAAGGCATGAAGGGGAGTAGGTTGTTGTAAAGGATGTATAAGCATATATAGGATTGTGCTCAGCGACTTTCTAGGGTAACTTGGGGATATATAGGGTCCAATGATTAAGCTTGCGGGCGTAGGGATCAAGAAGTAGAGTGTTGGGTTTAGGGTTTAGAGTCTCCAGGTTAAGGGTGCATTTCGGATATCGAGTTTTGGGGTTGAGGTGCTATCCCGTTGCAGACATCACAGAGAGCAACGAAATCCTATCTCGTTGCAGTCTTAGGGTTGCGTGGGTTAGCCTTCGGGGTTCTAGGGTTTAGGGTTTAGGGTTTAGGGTGGGGATTAGGGTTTGGGGCTTGCGGTCTTCGTCATGGGCATGGCAGTAGAATTTCGAGGCAGCCCTGCTGCCAAAAGAACATGATTCATGTGCCTTGGGTACTGCCCCCCACTCATTGACAGAACATAGACTGTCAATGGCTGGGGTCACGGCCCAACATGTGCTGTTATTGTGAGGACCCCAACAGTCGTAGGATATTGTACTAGCCGGGTATGAAAACTCTTGTATGTAACTTCTGAACTTCATGGTACTGCAACCTAATGAAGTATGAACATGAAATCCCTCTCAGGGGTATACACACACATATGGCGATATAGGGGTATGTCGGGATAATGGAGAATCAAATGGGAAAATCAAGAAGTTACATACTTGTTTCTAGGGATGATTCCCAACATAACGGTCGTAGTTTCCGTGTATGGCACTTCATCTAGGGAGTATTACCACTATTACGTCCCTGGTTTCCTTGCAGAATTATTGTTTAGGACACCTCAAACAGACCTCAGGGGTCAGTGTTTATGGAATCATTCCGGCTTCAAAAGTAGCTAGTCGGGAAATGGAACAGGAAATGGAACCTGCTATCTTGTTTGAGGAAATGGAAACGAAATTTGGGCCCGATGTCTTATGTAGCAAGGCCTCGAGAAATGAAACAAGCACATGAAAGCTGTTATGTTATGTAGGGCTGTTGGACATGGAGAATCTTCCCGGTGGTTAGCTAGGAACGAAGGAATGAATGCTTGCAGTAGGCCCTAAACTCATTAACGCATCATAGTAGTTTTTTAATTTTTCCATTCCTTCTACACCCTAAACCCTAAACCTTATACTCGTTTCCATTTTGTCCATTCCTGCCTCCAAGCGGCCCCACGGTTTCCGTGGTTAGGTCGCCTGGGACGGCGTGGGGTGGGTGAATGTGTTCGATGGCCATAATCCTTAAAGCGGTTAAGGATTAACGGTTTAGGATTCAAGGGGTTTCAACAGGGATCATATAGGGGAGTATTACAGGGTTTACTAAGGGGGATACGAGGAGTTTAGACTATGGCTCAGATGGCCAGCCACGCTGGCGCATAGCAGCATGGCGCAAAGCACGACGCACTCGAAGCGACTCTGAGGCATGACTGCTCCTTCGCCACATCACAAACAAACCTAAGCTCTAAACCCCAAACCCTGAAACCCAAACCCTAAACCCCAAACCCTAAGCCCTGAACCCTACACCCTGAGCTTTAAATCCAGCCTTGGCTCAGGAAAAGCGTGGCCAGCTGACACCCAAGCCCAAGAGTCGCCTCTGAGTAGAGAGTTTTGCCCGGAATAACGTGAGGTTTGGGGTCGAGGATTTGGGGCTTGGGTTTGGGTTGTAGGGTTTGGGCTTAAGGGTCCGGGTGTAGGATTTAGGGTTGTTTCGGGTTTAGGCTGTTTTAAGGTTCAGGGCTCAGGGTTCAGGGGTCGTGTTTGGGTTTTGGATTTCAGGGTAAAAAACTATCTAAGCAACCAGAGATACAGGAGAATCAAACGGAAAGACAAATGGAAAGTGACATAGAAAGGGTTCAGGATGTAGGGTTTAGTGTGTGGGGCCTAGATGATGCAAGCTATGCAGGGTTTAGGGTTTAGGGGCTTATGGAGATGTTATAGTGTAGAAGATGATTCAATTGGAATAGGGCTGTGCGGTACATTATACTTCTGTAAGGGTTATATTGTATGGTCAATTATTGAGGCGTTGACATTCGGGCTCCCTCGTTGGGGGGAATTCCTTGTGTAGGGAATCCCTCCCATATTCTGCACATACTCTTCAGGCGCTTTGCCTGTCGGAAATACTAGATTGCTTTCCCATCGACAAAAGGATGCTTGCGCGTTTCTCATTTGACCTGCTCATTTGATGCGCAGTGCGCTGCAAGAGAGCTTGTGCACACGTGCCAGGCTTATGGCGTGAACATGGAGGCGCACAGCGTAGCTGGAGTTGTTCAGCCTGTGTGGCCTTGTAATTTCGGCCTTTGATCCCCTGCCTGGTCTCAGGCTTTTGCATCGGCATTGCAGAAGGCTTTGGCATCCGCAGCTGCTGTTGAAGAGGACCCTTGGCATTCCTTCCTCGTAACAGCACGATTCGGGAAGAAGCTATCTCCATATAATGGGTATATATAGGGGTTATATAGTAGAAATGGAAAAGAAAATGGAAACTACTATAGTATTTAGGGTTTACGGCTTAGGGTTATGGGGAACTTAGTAAGTGGGTTAATGCCCTTGCAAGGTTCATGCGAGAGATAGGGGCGCTCCAAGATCAGATGTCACATTAGGTACAGCGTGCGGACGTTTTGGTCAAGACTACTACACCTTATGCACGCCCGTACCCCACTGTAGGACAACGCAAACAAACTCTCAGTTTTGGAAACCCAAAGCCCCGTATGTCCCCATGATATCTCTACATAGCCCTCTATATAGGTTTATATGGTAGTTTCCCAAAATAAGGCCCTATTAGAGACCCCCAAAAATATTACAATCCTTTTCATGGGGACACCCAATAAGGTGCCCCTACCCTATGGCTACATTTTGCCTTAAACCCTACACCCTAAACCCTAAAGCCTACACCCTAAACCCTAAAGCCTAAAGCCTAAACCCTAAACCCTAAACACCCTAAAGCCTAAACCCTGAGCCCCAGGGCTTAGCCCAGGCATCACCCACTCAAGCAGCGGGCATCATGGTACAAGGCTTGCACGCCATCCTGGCCTCAGCTATCCCTTGGTTTAGGGTTTAGGGTTTAGGGGATAGAGCGGTATACAGGGTAGTATAGGGGTATATGCAGTTATGTAGGGGTATATACAGTCACATAGGGGTATATAGGGTTGGTTATATAGCAGGGTTATGAAGGGAGAGAGAAAAAGGTTCAGGCTTTTCAAAAAATGAGGGATCCCCATGCTGCGAGTCAGTAAAATGAGGACTATATGGGGTTATGGGTTTAGGGTCGACTCGTTTACTGTATATGTATATGTACATATACATGTACACACACAATATATATATATATATATGTGTATGGGAGGTTTAGGGTTTGGGAGACATGGTGTAGGGTTTAGGGTTTATGGCATGGTTGAGTGTAGTGGGGTTCTTTGTGGGCCCCGCAGGGAGCCTCTGAGATGCACTCTTAGGCTGTATAATTCCAGATGAAAAAAAGAAGCCAGGTGAGCGAAGGAAAGCCCTAAACCCCAAACCCTAAAACCCCAAACGCCAAACCCCAAACCCTAAACGCCAAACCCTAAACCCTCAACCCTACACTCCAAATCCTCCCCCTTAAATCTGCACTCAAAATTGTTTGGATGCAGGCTTTTGGGATGTGGCTGCTGTGGAATGGCTAGTGAAGGCTGGGACCTTGCGTTTCTATGGTTTAGGGTTTAGGGT